CTCACAGCGTGCAGGGCCCCACGGCTCCCGCAGCCAGGGCACCCTCCGAACCACTTCCGGGTTACGCGCTCCGCGCAGGCGCCGAAACACAGGCCACTCGCGCACCGTCACGCTCCACGTCCATTACTGCGCATGCCCGAGCACCGCGGCATTTCTCCCTCCCTCCCCCCCGCCCCGCCGCCGCTCTGCCGAGCATGCGCACTGGAGCGGTTGGGCGTGCTGCTGGAGCACCGTGTCGCGATATGTCGCCGACATCGGTAATGGGAGTGAAGAGCTGGGAAGCTGCGAGCTGCTGGGCTGGTCTAAATGGCTTCTGGTTCAGAGAAGCCTCAGACGTGCTCGACCTGCGATGAGGGTACACATGGAAACAGCAGAAAATTGTCGAAAACTACCGGCATGAGTTGTGCAGCCAGGCGGGAAAACAAAACCCGTCTTTAATTTTCTAGACAAAATATTTCCATGTGTTCTCATCAACCAGTATAATTTTGAACCAAAGAAATACACTAACTTCAAAAAAAGATGCTTAACATACTCGTAATGAGTAATTGTTGCCGCAGCTACATTATAATGTGATGTTTAAAAGACTTTTTATCAGTGTCCAGTACAACGGGAAATTCCCCACATTTAAACTCTGGATTATGTGCTCTTTTTGCCTTTCAGCATCTTGGATTTCCCCTGCTCTTTGTGGGAAAGCTTTTTTTATTTTGTAGAAGTTGATCGCTGAAGCAGTTGGGAAAGCTGTGTTTTGGTATCCACACCTCCATTTTCAAAGATTATTATTAATGATGAGCTTGCTCTCTGTTGAAATAGCACGTTACAGGTGCATTTACTGTATGCCATAGGTTAAAAGTCTGCTTTCTTGAATTTTTTAATATACTTTTCCTTGCTTATTAATACTATGGAAGAATAAAATGTCTTGCTGTGTATTGAAAGATGCAGAGTTTGTCCCCTTGCATGAAGGGACAAGAATGAAAATGCAAGAACATCTCTGCTGGGTCAGACACAGACTGTGCAGCCCAATGCCCCGTCTCCAACTGTGGCCAAAAGGGAGTGAAAGCCTTTAATGATGCACTCCATGAATCCCAGTCTCCAACCCTTTGGAGGGACTTCTCAAGGCAAGGATAGTGTCTGGTTATTCAAAAACCTTGGCTGGATTTCTCTTTCACTAATTTGCTGGTCTCCCCTTGACCTCGCGTGAACTTCTTTTATCCGTGACGCGCTGTGGCAAAGCACTGCGCAGCATAATGACACATTGTGTGGTTTCATCTGAAACCTCGCCTTTCATCTGACCCTGCTGTCTGCCAGCACCATTTGATGCCACTTTTTGATGCTACTGGAAGAGACAGCAAACAAGCAGTTCCTACACATCCCGTCCACAACACTCATGATTCTTATGACCTCTGTTTCTGTAGGCTGAGGAGTCCTGCCCTCCCAGTCCTTCCACGTACAAAGCTCTTCCATTCTGTAACACTGGAGTTTAATGTCAGACATATTTTCCCTTGAGAAAAAGGGGATGGGAAAATTGGAGTAATTATGAAGCATTCAGCCTGACTGCCAAAAAGTAACCAAGCAAGAAAATCCTTAAGTGTTTGGAATCAAAGAATCCCTTTTACATGCTCGGAAGCAAATCCTCATATTCGTTATCTCTAATTTCCCTCTTTCAGTAATCTGAAATCTGAAGTCTTACAGCAGCACAGAAGGAATGTTATTTCACAGATATCTTAAATAAACTGCAAATAACTAACCTCAGACAGAACCAAGCCTCTGGAGACTGCAAACTTCTATATGAACAGATGCTATGCAATTGAAAAAGACTGTAGGTTGATCACTGTTTCCTCTCTGGTTCCAGAGAGAGGAGGCCACTCATTCCCTGTAAGTATCTGCCGTAAAGTGTACTAGCAGCAAACAAAGAAAAAAAAAGTGTCACTATTCTCACACTAATGCTGGGACATCTTCCTGTTGTAAATTCCAGGTTTTGTTCCATCTTCCCCTGAATACGGTAAGAATGTGTATTTAGGAAGTGTTAGTTAGAAGGCATTATGGTATCTCTGTAAGAAGAGTCCTTGAGATGAAACACAAGTGGAAACTGACACAGGTTGCCCAGGGAAGCTGTGGATGCCCCCTCCCTGTCAGTGTTCAAGGCCAGGCTGGACAGGGCTTTGAGCAGCCTGGTCTGGTGGGAGGTGTCCCTGCCCATGGCAGGGGTTGGACTGGATGAGCTTTAAGGTCCCTTCCAACCCAAACCATTCTGTGTTTCTATGATTTTATGATTTGGGACACGTCTGTTCTCAGTCAAAAGGAAGGACAGGATGCATTTACTCCAGTTAGAGAGCAGATGACAAATAGGAGCTGGCATGCTGTGTGAAAAGAGTCTGTGATGAATGCAACCAACAACTTGATGAATTTAAAACCAAGGTTCTAGGCTACCCTAAGAGGTACCCAGCTCCTCTACATTTTTTGCACAGTACCCGAAGGATATGACTGCGTGCAAATCACACCGGCCAGTATACAAACCAGGAGTAGAAAAAGTGTCGGGATGGCTCTGATGTGATGTAAAAAAAATAGCAGGGAACATGTTTGATTGCTAAGAGTCCTGAGGATGCTTGTCATGAGACACTGCAAAAGCTCATAAGCTCAGCAAATACTATACAAAAAAACCTGTATCATTCAGTTCAGTTTCAAACTGAGGAATTTCAGTGTGCAAGACAAATGTGACAAAAACATGATCCTTCATCTGAGATTAATGTGACATTTACATGGTTTTGGGGCAGAAAAGTTTGCACTAAAGTGGTAAGTACAATAAATGAACACGTTTACCATACTAATAACTTAGAACTTGGGATAGGTTTTATAAAAATATCTGCACAAAATTCAGTTTTATCCTATTACTGCCTGTAAGAATTTCTAGTTATGATCAATTTTTGTTTAGAAAATTCATGCATTTCCATAAGCAAACTATTCCAGTGACATGAAACTCTGTCAGAAGCAGCAAATATAAGAGTGTGAAAGAGCCACACAATATCCCACTGGTTGTTTCCTAATTCTTCCAAAGAAAATCTTAATAGATGTTGCTACAACAAATCTTTTGCATTCTATGTGATCAAATGAATTCTAGGTAGTGTGAGGAAGTATTAAGCCTATGTGTGCCTGTCAAATGGTAAACACACCACTTGGCCCTGTGAGCTCCATTTACTGGCTACAGACATTGTGCGACACTGTTGCAAGGTCAGCTGTGCCTACTTTGAAGGTACTTTGGAAGTTCTGCCTGATTTATTTGAAGTACAGAGTTTATGAATTTCAGTGTAGATGAAAAGATTGAGAAAAATAAAAAAGATTACAAAAATACAACCTGACATTCCAAGAGGGAAAAACAAGTTTTAATTCAAATCACATTGAGAGGCTACAGAAATCACCTGTAAAGATGGAAATAATGGACCAATCCATCCCTGCTGGACCACCACTGGTATAAACAGATCTACTGCAGGAATGATTTTGACAAAATGCAGTTACTGAGTTTTCTTTAGTTATAGCTCTCATACATTAATCCCGTAATTGTACGAAATCATTTAATTGATTTAAAAACAAAACCAAAAACCCCAGCTTCAGCTTGTGTAACTCCATTCTTCATCACTTCTGTTGAATGCAGAGCCATTTTCTTGGTACTTCATATGAGTATTTTTCATCAAAAGTGTCTTTATAGGGGATATGCCATGTATCACCTGTAGTCTGTACCACGCAGTCGTAACGGAAAGGAGGCTGTTGGATAAAGACAGATAAAAACATTTTTCTTAGACTTTACACAATATATTACTGAAATACCAGCTATGGGTAGTTATAGCTTCTAGAAACCTCCATAGATTCATCTCTGTAACAACTCTCATTTATTGCTTTACACCAAACAAATTCTACATTTTAGTAGTGGAGAAGAAATTAAAACATCTTTTAGCATTTTGTGGTCTAGGAGTCATTACAAATGGTTAAAATTCTGTCCTCAATCTCCATCAGATAATAATGATTTGAACATAACACATTCCATTTCTAGAAATAGCAAAATGATTGCTTTGCTCTTCGGTTAAATGAAATCATGGGATTAACTCAGGATGTGGACTTTCTAGGTTTGAACTGATAGGATTTAATGGCATTAATGACATCTTGTGTTTGTTTTTCCAGTGTCCCTCTGTACAGAACTGACTTGCTCTGCGCTGAGGAGCATTTAAGAAAAAGGTTTATCACTAACGCTTTCAAGAGCATCTAGTTGAACAATTACAGTAAACTGGTTCTTTGGTCTATTATGCTACAGGTATACTAACTCAACTTGTATAACACAAACACAAATTATTGCCATCATTTGGCAATTACGGTTCTCAGAACACACCATCACTCTGTGTGTATCATCTTGGAAGTCTACTTTCCTGTGACAGCTTCCAGAATGACCTAGAAGACAGCTATGACTGGGAATGTGAATCATCCAGATCACTTGTATGGGAATTAAGACACAAAAACGACTAGCTCTTTTGTACAAAAGAAAGAAACAAGGTGTAGCTAAGTCTGTGTTATTCAGGTAACCCTACATTCAGTATCTGGTTCCAAAAAAATCAATGTATATAAAGCAACTCTGAATGAAAGGCTGTCGTTCTTATAAGCCTGTACAGCTATGGTCTGCTTGTAGTGATGAACATTATTTTACAATTTTAACTAGAGCAGCAAGAAAATTAATCTGCATAGGAGCAGTATTCCTTTAAGTAGGCAGTAACAATGCAGACAGGCTAGATAACAAAAACCTGCATGATATGGAATGTCATGTGATGGATTTTTCCCTGGAAAAAATCTTAAAACAGCTGCACTCCTGTTAATGTGCTGTTCATGGCTCACAAGGACACGTCTCCTACATGAGAACAGCAGTATTCTGCTGTATGATGATGCTATGCTTGGAAGACT